GAGTAAACTTAAGGTTTAGTGGGATCTTCTGACTGATGAAATCCCTTCTGGATGGTCACTGAAGTTTATTTTGCAAGTTAATACAAATTTGCAAAAATACCAATTCAAAAATCACTGGAAGTGAACACTTTCAGTAAACTAGGTGAATACGTGTTAAGAAGCCCTTAGAAAATTTTTATTTTTAAATAAACAACTATTTCAAGAGTAACATAGTCCCAATAGGTCAAAGATTGCAGAAGCCTAGAGAAAAGTAATCTGAACAAAGGTGTTATGCCAGGCCACTCCCCAAAAATGCTAATATAAGTTTCAAACCAGAAGACTGGGAAGCCAAAGATTCCCAGCATTCTGAATAAGAGTTTGAGACTTGTGTCTTGCAGATTCAGTTTGATAAAATGCTAGAATATCATACTTTCCTAATTTCAGGATACGAAAAGTTATTTGCCACTTCTTTTAACTTTCTTGCACCATTCTAATACCAAAAGAACAAAATTGATTGTTCACTTCTATTGCTCTATGTTAACTGTGTTTGTGTCAATAACAGAAGTACTCTTTTTCATGAAATGTTGCTTAATCTCTAATTCAAACACTTTGTTCATTTTAGTATGTAAATTCAAGAGTAATGACTAAATCATTTTGATTGTTCCTTTTATGCCTTTCCAAAATCTTAGGAATGTAATGCTATTAAAAATACGAATGCATTATGATGAACTTGTGGCAGTTTTCTTTTTCATAATTTTTGCAGTATTGCAATAAGGTTAATGAAAAGCAACATGAAACCTGACATTGATTTGTTGGGTCCACAAAATTGTCCCATTCTAAAAAAATAAATATCTATTTATTTTAGAGGATGAAACTTCTAGAATATCAGGGGACACATACTTTTAAAGGCTTAATCTTAATTAAAATTAGTTTTATCATAACGTGCTTTCATTCACATTTGGATGATACAGATTTTTATATTTTAAGTCACTCATTAATTGTTCATTCATCAAATACTACTGACTACCAACTAGCACTGTAGGTAATAAAAAACAAATAAAAATAGATTTTTTTCCTTAAGGAAGATTTCAGAAAAGCCTAAAGATATAAAGAGATAGTACTATACTAATTAGTAAATAATTCATAGGTGTGATGATCACTTCAAACTTGGGGTGGAGTAGAAGGACCTTTGGAAGTCGGGGAGAAGGATGGATAGAACCTAGACATAGGAGGAAGGAGACATGAAGACAATTGGGGACAGTTAGTTACTGTTCTGTTCTGTGTATGTGTGTTTAAGGATTATTATCCTAAAATCTATTAGAGCGTTGTATACTTTTTGCTGGAAAGGTGGTTAGTATGAACTTTGAAGAATGATACAGTATTTGAAGTAGTAGTATTGAGTGGAAAAATGATCATATATACATTTGATAGCATCAGTGATTATTCCTGGTTGCCATATTTAAACCAGGATTTTCATATTATTTTTAATTTCATGGTTTGTTTTGTAAGACATTTTGAATAATAAAATAGTTATTATAGACAACAAACATGACACTAAGAACATCTCTTTAATTTTTAAATTTTCTTCACAACAGTGTTTATGGCAGCATGATTATAATCTATTGTGTTATGGTCAATTTGCTCTTTTGGCTTTATCTTTATGCTGAATAATTGGCAATAACAGATTAGTAATAAAACAGATCATCTGTTTTATGGCTTCCTATTGCTGTACAAAATGTTAAACTTCATTTTATATAAAAATCACAATCAAAAAATTAATTAAATTTCAGAAGTTCTTAAGAAAGTACTTTATATTTCCCCCTAATTTGTAGGTTGAGGTTTTATCATTCTTAGTCACAAAGAGCAGAAAGCATTTCCAAGTCTAATTTCATTTTACCACAATCATGACATTTTCCAACCATCTCATAAATTTGCAACATTTGTTAAAAGGGAGAGTAGTGGAGCAAAATGTGTCACTAGTGCTGAAGAAAATGGGCCTGTGGTAATTAGTGTGCCACCTTCAAAGACAAAATTAGTGCTTGAAATTTAACATAATAATTGTACCAATGAACAGTTACTGAGTGCTCACCATGTGCCAGTGTCTGTGTTGAGCTGTCCAAGGGCATTATCTCTTCAGCGCCTCATCCCTTATGATATTATTGTTATTCCCATTTTATAGAGAGAAATAATAAGTGTTAGACAGGTCTGAGTAATTTGATTACAGTCCAAGAGTTTGTGGATGGAGTAGCTGGGATTCAAAACGAGTCCTCTGGGGTATAGGTGTAGGTATTAATATCCCAACTATATAAATGAGAAAAATTGAGGCTTAGAGAGGTCTAAATAATTTGGTTAAGCTCAAATAGCTAATAAGTGAAAAAACTGGTCCTTTTCATTCCAGCGTCTGGCTATATTGCCTATCAGATAAACTTTGACAAAATTTAACTCACAAGCATGTCATTTACATCTTCTTTGTTCTGACACAGAAGGGACTAAATTCAGGAAGGAATGCACACAGATGTTACCCGGGAAGAGGGGGGACAATTGGTAAGCATATGGCTGAGAGCCAGAAATTAGTAGCAAAGAGAATCTCACTTTATTCCACTTTATTATTTTAGGGCCATCATATTGAAGCAAGAGTGTTTCAGGACGTTTTCTGAGTTTCAGTCAGAATATTTGCATTAACTTTCTTTAAAGTCAGAAACTCAGTGTCTCAGCCAAAGTCCTCAAACTAGTCCTCTACTAAGTGGCCTGGAGTTAATTTGCTTGGCTAATTGCCTATTTGTATTGTTTACTGTACACTACCTTGTGCCCTAATTATTTTTACATTACCATGTCTCGTATTACGAACTATAGTGTTATGGTCTTGGGCAAGAACAGTGTTTTTCTTCTGATTTGCAAACACTACTGTAGTAGGCATTCGATTCTTAAAAAGTGATGGAATTTCAAAGCTCAGAAGACAGATTGGAATCTTTAAAAATACCTGTGTATTTTTTTAAATGAACAAAAGTATTAGATACTCACTGATTTTTCTTTATTACAAGTGTTGGGTGTCACAATAATACATTATAGTCCAGAGAAATCTATTCTTTGTCAATTTGGAATATTTATAGACTTATGTTACAATTTGTGGTATTGAGTATTCATGAATTATATTTTGTAGACCTTTTACTTTTAGATCTAGGGAAAAGGTAAGATAAGGAAACAAAAGCTGTTCTTTTTGTGAAAAATCACTTAACTATAGAGAACAAACTGAGGGTTGCTGGAGGGGGAGGTGGGTGGGGGATGGGCTAAATCGGTGATGGGGCCCTTGTGATGAGCAATGGGTGTTATATGTAAGTGATGAATCACTAAATTCTACTCCTGAAACTGATACCACACTATATGTTAACTTACTTGAATTTAAATAAAAATGTGGAAGAAAAAAAAATCTCTTAATTATATGAGATGCCATTTGTAATTTGTGGAGAACTAGTACAAATGAAGAAAAAAAAATTTTTTTTTGAGAGGAGAGAGAGAGAGGGGTGGGGAGGGGCAGAGGGAGAGGAGGAGAGAAAATCGTAAGCAGGCTCCACACCTAGCATGGAGCCCAATGCTGGGCTCCATCTAACAACCCTGAGATCATGACCTGAGCCAAAATCAAGAGTCGGACGCTTAACCAACTGAGCCACCCAGGTTCCCCCAGATGAAGAAACTTTTTAATATAAATGTTAGAAAATTGTGTTTAAACCCAAACTGGAATTTACAATTTTCTCATGGTAATTTATACATTACCATAGAAAAGGTAGTTTGTATATTTTTTTGTGTGTGTCTGTGTCTATGTGTGGGTCTGTGTGTATATTTTTATCTGAAAGACAAAGAGCATTGTGTCTTCTACACTTAGGATCCCTTGGCATTTGAAGTAACGTTATGTTTGCATTTTGTATAGACAAAATATTCAGATCCATTGGCCACTCCTAAGAAAGGCACAAACAAGATTCTATTTTCTAGCAGCTGTATTTTTAATTAATTTTGAGGTTATATTAAGTGAATAATTTGGGTAGTTTAGATCATTTACTTTTTACTTTGAATATATTTTTAGTATGTCTTCATTGCTTCTAAATATACATATAATTTAAGGACTTAAACTATTACTCAGTAATAATTGTATTATTTCTGTACCATCCATATTGGCATGTGAATGTTCTCTTTTTAATAATGACAAAGCAAGACCTTAAATTGTATTTTAGATGCTCATTTCATGAACACTGTCACTGCTGTGTTACAAGTGTTAAAACAAAAATGTTAAATAATAAACTGCCATCAGGTATTGGCTTTTGTTCCTTCATCATCTAAGAGCGAAATTTATGAATGATGCATCACAGCACGACATACATTTACATTCAAATACCAGTTGTTAACGTTTTAAGTTAATGCCAGTGAATCTTTAAAAATCTCTGTGAATAATGAAGCTATTCATTGTGTTCAAGGATTTTGCCTTTTTCAATGATAGGAATTTCTTCTCATTTGAAAGAGTATTTAATTGCATCACTCATCCACTTTTAATATTTAATAATAATTTTATTAGCTGTGTAGAATGAGAAGGGCAAGATTTGCAATATCTACTGCTGGTCATCAATTTTTTTATCATGACTTAATGAATATTATAATTACAAGGAAAGGCAGAAATATAAATTAGGTTGGTAGTTGGCTGGGACTTGCTAGTTTATTGCTTTTAGCTTGGGCAAAGCCCAGAGTAGGCACAAGGAAAAAGAAACAAATATCTGGGGGTGCTGTAGAAGCCCTGGCACAAAATTTTTGCAACCTACTAATCATTCTTCATTTAAAATAATGAACACAGGCGGTTTGAATCAAGTTGCAAACACTGTCAGTAACAACTCCTGCTGTTTCCACAGCAGTTGACGGGATCTTGACGACTTCCAAAACTTAGTCTTGGCAGGTGTATTTTTCTTTAATCTTTATCAATGCATTTTGAGACTTTTTATTATCTTTTCTTTAACACGTTTACTGGTATTAACTTTCAGCTGCAACAAAAGCTGCATTACTTTGAGTGGGAACACTTTGCATTAACCATCGTCATAGTAGTGCCTTTTACTGAAGTAGCACCTCCCACCTTAGGTTTTCAAGATGCTTTTGAGGACATTTCATTAGGTCTGTGGGATAGAGGTCAGGGGAAAAGTTCTTTGCAGGTACCATGCGTTCAAAGCCTCTGTGGATTTATGACCCAGGCCATGGGGAAAAAACAGTTTTCATTTTAGTGATCTAGCTATAGATATGTGTATCCGGTGATTCCTAAGTTTTGAGTACCATTTGTTCAAAATGGAACCAGATCTTGATGAATTTCATGTGTTTTTTAAACTTATTTTTAACCCCCTCCAGCAACTGCTTCGAGAACGACAGCAGATGGCCAGCCGTCCGTTTGCTTCTGTTGATGTTGCACTGGAAGTAGGAGCTGAACAAACAGAGTTTCTGCGAGGGCCATTAGAGGTAGGAACTGTGGTGCCAAAAGGGGACCACTGTGATTTGCATATTTATATTGCTTTTCTAATCTGCATCTGCTTGTGCAGCCAAATACAGTCTGATTATGTGGCATTGACAAGATTCAGCTACATATGTGATGCCACTTCCAAGGCACATAGTTTTAATAGTGTGACATGAGCTGTAACAAAAGCCACTGGAGAATCTGTTAGTCGAGGCAAGAGTGACAGACTGCTCACCTGGCAGCCTGGAGCTGACAGATAGGAGCTGAAGAAATTTAAGAAACAGGTATGATGGAAAAAACAAAGCACCTATATTTAGTCCTTGGAGTGCCCAACACTTTTAGTTAACAATTAACTTTTATCTTTATTAACGAAGTTGACTATAACAGGTGGGTGGAGATGAGTTGCATTGTTCATTTTTGAATGTTGAGAATTATAGAATATTGTGAATATTTTTATTTGTGGTAATGGATATATTAGTATATTTTATTGCACATGCAGAAATAGAGTATGGCAAAGGAGAAATCATTATATGCAAGTAAATGTGCTAATGGATTCCTGAAATAACGCCTGGAATGGTTTCTGAAAATAATAACCCACAGAGAGGAAAAATCCACAGATTGTGATTAACAACTAATCAAAGCATTTTGAGGCATAGTAATATAGTTGTATGCTTATTATTTTTTATTTCTATTTCATGGATGGTAAGACGTTTAAGTAGGAAGATTAAGAAACACTGTAGAGTTGAAAATTGTTTTCCCTTTTTAAAAAAATGCCCTTATGTGACTAATTTCATGTTGCTATTTTCAAATCTTGCTTTTCTTCAAGGAAAGCAAGGAATATAAAAATAGACTCCTCCGAAAACCTAGATACAAATAGAATTGATTCTGTCTCTAGCATTTGGTTATTTTGGAAAAAAAATTAAACAACTGAATCAGGCCTTGTGGATGCTATCTATCCAAAGAGCCAGTTTTTAAAGGACATTTCTCTGAATCTTTGTGTACTTGAATTTTTACTATTCTAGATCACGGGTTGCCATGGAAGCTTAGAACATTAGGAAATTTTATGTATATCTTCCATTACTTGGGGAGAAATTAGAAGACAGAATGATTAAATGGAGGTTACAGGAAGTGCTCTGATTTCATGTTGGCCGTTTGCCTCACATCACTTTAGTACAAAATCTTTAACAAATAGGAAACCTGCAGTATTTGAATCCAACTTCTTTTTCTCCTCATCTGTTAAAATCATCAAACACTGCAAAAACACAAGTCACAGGAGAGAAATGAATGTAAACGATGCATACATAGTCCACAGGGGAAAGGGACCAATCAGAGAACTAGAAAACTCACAAACGTAAGGAGCAAATGTAACTCACATACATATGCACCTCCACAGTGTGTCAGTTGCTGCTTACTAGTGTTCAAGAATGTATTGTTAGGTGTGTGTGTTCCTGATCATTCCATTTCTTTGTTTTATTTCTTCCAAATTTTATTTCCTTCTTTATCATTGTCATTTTTTTAACATTAAATTTTATTTTGTAGAGTTTAAAGATTTCTACTTCTACTTATTTTTGTTCATGTTTACTTACTAGTCCTTTATGCCTTTGCTTCCAACTTCTCTGTATCCTTTTGTTTTCTACCTATCCCTTGTAGAAATGACTATTCACTTTATTCTCCTATTCGGTAGTCTGTCTTTTGATTAATTGCCTGAAGCTATCTACACTGACAATAATTACTGTACGCCCAAGGATTATTTTAGCTACTCCATTGTGTGTGCAGGGGTGTGTGTGTGTGTGTCTGTGTGTGTGTGTGTGTGTGTGTTGTTCTTGTTGTTACTACCCTTCTTTTTGGTTCTTTTTCCCTGTTTCTCTTGGATAAATTGATTTCCTTCTACTTAAACAGTGTTACATATTCTATTTCTGTTTCTGATGGTTACCCATTACTTACCAAGATTCATAGTGATGGTTATTTTCTCTATCACTTTCTAAAAGCTTATTAATACACATTCCTACCCTGCCTGTCTCAAACAAAATTAATATTTTAGTATGCTCTCAACTCCCTCTGTTCCTCCTACCCTACGTTAATACTGCTTGGACATTTTAATCCAGATATTATGGGTGTACTTTTTTTATTATGGCATATTTAAGTAACAATGAACTATCTTTACCCTTCTTTACTCTTTATATCTAGTTGCTTAATCATGCATTTCTTTCATTTTTCACTATAGTAAATCCTCCAAGCTACTTTTCAAAGAGAAATTTTATGTGGCATGCTCTTTGAGACCTCAAATGCCTATGAATATGTTTCTTCTGTCCTCACATGTAATAACAGTTTAATTAGATATAAAATTCAAAGTTTTCTTCAAAACTTCAAAGGTTTTAATTACTCCCTTGTCTCAAGTCTGATGTCAGTTTTATTCTTTGTCCTTTGTAAATGATCTCCATTTCTGTTTTATAATCTTTCAGAATGTTCTCATTTCTCAATGTTCTTAAATTTCTCTCTGATATGTATACATTATCTCATATTTGGCACTCTGTACCCCCTTTAAATCTGCAGCCCTATAACTTTGTATAATTCTGGATAATCTTTGGTTACTATTTCTTTTAATATTTCTTACTGTATTCTGTCTTGGAATTCCCATTAAATAATCTTGATACTTCTTCTATCATCTATATTTCTTAACTTGTCTCTCGTTATTTGTACTCTTTCATCTCTTCCTGATGCGTCTGGGAACATTCCTCAACCTGCCATTCCAGTGTACTGATTTTTTCTTAGAGTGTATCCTTTCTGTTATTTAACCTATTCATTGACTTCATATCAACAGTGATATATTTTGTTTTCAATAGCTGCAATTGTTTTCATAACTGCTTGTGGGTGCTTCATGTTTCAAATACCCTCCCTGATCTTTCTGAAGCCATTCATATTTAATTTAAATACTGTTACGGGCTTTCCTTTATATTTGACTTCCTCTGGTATAGATCATTCCATTTTTCTACTTCTTTCATGGTGCTTACACTCTTCAGAGGTCTCTTTTCTTTTTTTCTATGTACACCTATTTTATTTTAGTTACTAAGATCCACTTAAGAAGAGGGATAAAACCTTAACTCTTAATTGTACTCTTTCAAGCAATTTAGTGGTTGGGGATGAGGAATCTGCCTGTAGTGTATAATCTGGGTTCAGTCACCACTGCTCATTTGTCATGGATGTCCCTTTCACTAGCAAAAACCTTAAAGTACTTCCTTCCGAAGTACTTTTTTCCTATCAGATGGTAGCCTCTCTCTGATGCAGTTGGAGGTCCGCAGTTGAGATGGGGAGAAGTGAATGCTTAGGGGTTGTTTAGGCCCCCCATACATCTGTGGCTCTGGGATTCCACACCCCAGCTGAGCTCTAAGCTACTGTATCATTAGTTTGCAGCCTTGGCCTGACACTGGGCTGTTTCTGCTGCATTTCCTCCCCCAGGAGGTGGGGTAGGCATCACCCATCCAGACAGTGGATGGCCTCTGGCCCTCTCCTAATGCAGGCCACCATTTAGTTCCTATAAGAGGCCTAACCACTTTCTATCTTTCCAACTGTTTCTTCGAGATTTTGTATGAATTGCTGAGTGTGTTCTGACAATCAGCAACATTCTTAAATTGTATCGCTATGTTTGAACTCAGGGGAGTAGACAAATAACTCATTTTGGTTTATCATTTGTTGGCTGCAGGACCATGTGTGCAAGTGCTTTGTATGCTTTAAAGCCTTCTATTAATGTTGGTGGTCTTGTTATTTTTCTCATTTTATTGCTTAGCTATATAAGTAATTGGGATGCCTCTATTTCTTTTGTACCACTTGTTTTTAGTGAAACATCAAAGAAGAAAAATATCTACCTGCATACTTTCCTTTAGCAAGCCCTTTTTATCTGAAAATCAAGTTCTACTTATTAATGTATAGTATTATGGGGTTTTTTTGGAATCAACTTTAAGAAAATGTACCATACAATTCACCCAATTAAATTGTACAGCTTGGTGGGTTTTAGTACATACAGAGTTGTGTAACCATCACCAAAATCAATTTTAGAACATTTTCATCATCCCCAAGACAAACCCCATACCGCTTAGCAGTTACTTCCCCTCTCTCCCCTAGCGCTCTTCCTCAGCCCTAGGTATTAATCTACTTTTTGTCTTTATAGATTTCCCTAATCTATGTTTTCTTTTCATTTCATGTAAATGGACTCATACAGTATGTGCCTTTTCGGACTAGCTTCTTTCCCGTAGCATAATATTTTTAAGCTTCATTCTTGTGGCATGTGATCAGTACGTCTTTCCTTCTTATTGCCAAATACTATTCTATTGTATGGATAGAGCACATTTTGTTTATACGTTTATCAGCTGATAGATAACTGGGTTGTTTCCACGTTTTAGATATTCTGAAAAATGCTATTATGAATGTTTGTGTACAAGTGTCATTTCTTGGCCTTGTAATTAAGAACGGAAACACTGGGTCATATGGTAACTTTTTTATTATTTATTGAAAAGGAATTTCTTTCCCCATTGAATGATCTTGGGACCTTTGTAGAAAATCAATTGACCATAGATGTAGGGATTTATTTCTGGACACTCAACACTATTCCATTATTTGATAGGTCTGTCATATGACAGTACCACACTGGCTTGATTATTGTAGCTTTGTAGTAAGTTTTGGAATTGGAAAATATGAGTCTTCCAACTTTGTTCTTTTTGAAGATTGTTTTGGTTCTTCTGGATCTCTTGAATTTCCACATTAATTTTAGGATAAGTTTGTCAATTGCTACAATGAAGCCCACTAGTATTTCAATAGGGTATTGAATCTGTAGATCAGTTTGGGGGAATATGTAATATTTTAACATTTACTTTATTAAGGTAGCAATTTCATTAATTGAGTACCTTCATGCTTCATGCCTAAAATCCTAAATTCAATAATAGATTTCATCCCTCTTGGTAAATGATTATGATTTCTGATATTTGAAATTCCCTATAGCTACATATGTCTA